TTTTAATCTCTTCCCTTGTGATTTGTCTATTCAGATTGTCTGTTTCTTCTTTGGGAGGTTGTAAGAGTCTAAAAATTTATCCATTTCCTCTAGATTATCCATTTTGTTGGCATATAGTTTTTCATATTATTCTCAGCTCTTTGTTTCACTGGTCCTCTCTACTGCCTTTTTTGTTTCAATAGCATTTATTTCTGTTCTGATTTTTATTATTTCTCTGCTTCTGCTGACTTTGGGCTTTAGTTGTTCTTTTTCTAACTCAGGTAGGTGTAATTTGAGATAGCTTATTTGGGATTTTTCTTGTTTGTTAAAGTGCGCATTGAGATGAATTTCCCATGTAATATGACTTTTGTTGCATCCCATATGAGTTGGTATGGCATGTTATCATTTTCATTTGTCTCCAGATATTTTTTGATTTCTCTTCTAATTTCTTCAATGATACACTGCTTGTTCAACATCATGTTGTTTAATCTCCACATCTTTGTCCCTTTCACAGCTTTTTTCCTGTAATTAATTTCTAGCTTTATAGCATTATGTTCAGGAAAGATGCTTATTATTATTTCAATTTTCTTAAATTTATTGAAGTTTGCCTTGTTTCCCAACATATGGTCCATCCTTGAGAATGTTCCATGTGCACTTGAGAAGAATGTGTATCCTGCTGTTTTTGGATGGAGTGTTCTAGATATGTCTATTAAGTCCAACTGGTTTAGCTTTTCATTTAATCCCACTGTGTCCTTGTTGATTTTCTGTCTGGATGATCTATCCATTAATGTGAGCAGAGTGTTGAAGTCCCCTACTATTATTGTGTTGTTGTTAATATCTTCTTTTAGGTTTGTTAATAGTTGCCTTATGAACTTTGGTGCTCCTGTGTTGGGTGCATAGATATTTATAAGCATTATTTCTTCTTGATGGAGTGTCTCTTTGATCATTATATATTGGCCCTCTTTGTCTCTCTTTACCTGGTTTATCTTGAAGTCTACTTTGTCTGATATAAGTATTGCGACACCTGCTTTCTTTTGTTTGCTTGGAGTATCATCTTCAAACCCTTCACTCTGAGCCTGTGTTTGTCAGTGGAGCTGAGATGTTCCTGGAGGCAGCATATTGCTGGGTCTTGTTCTGTAATCCATCTTGCCACTCTGTGTCTTTTTATTGGATAATTCAATCCATTACTGTTTAGGGTGATTATTGAGGTATTAAGGGCTGAATGCTGTCATTTTATCACTTGTTTTCCGGTTTTCCTGCATTTCCATTATTTCTCCTCCTGTGTGTTTTGCTCTACCCATTGAATTACGTAGTTTTTTATGATGTGTTTCTTTGTTTTCTCCTTATTCTTTGTGTCTCTGTTCTTTTTCGTTTAGTGGTTACACTGAGGTTTGTATTCAGAATCTCTGTATAACATTGTCCATTTTCTGATGGCCTCTTATTTTCTCAGTCGAAACCGATTCAGTCCCTTTCCTCATCCCCTCCAAAGTTGTTTTTCTCATATCTTATTCCATCTTGCATTGTGAGTTTGTGGTTAAAATGACAGGATTATCTTCGTTTTTGGTGTTTTCTTTCCCTCTAGCTTAATGCTATAGTTGAATATTTGCTATCTTACTCTGATTCTGTCTACCTGTTTATCTCCTTACTCTGTGTTTTGCGACCCCTTTCTCCCCGTTTTGTCTCTCCCCTTCTTTTTCTTTCAGGTATGAGGGTGTTCTTGAGGATTTCTTGTAGGGAGGGTCTTGTGACTAGGAACTCCCTTAGCTTTTGTTTGGGAAAATTTTAACTTCTCCTTCATATCTGAATGATATTTTTGCTGGATAGAGTATTCTTGGCTGAAGATTTTTGTCTTTTAAAGGTCTGAATATGTCATTACATTCTCTCCTAGCTTGTCAGGTTTCTGCAGAGAAATCTGCTGGAAGCCTGATAGGGGTTCCTTTGTAGGTTATTTTCTTCTGCCTTGTTGCCCCTAGTATTCTTTGTCATTCATTTTTGCCAGTTTTACTACTACATGCCTTGCAGTAGGTCTTTTTACATGGACAAATCTAGGAGATCTGGAAGCCTCTTCCACACAGATGTCCCTCTCTTTCTCTAGGTTTGGGAAGTTCTCTTCTATTATCTCTCTGAACATGCTTTCTGCTCCATTCTCCTTCTCTTCTCCTGGAATGCCTATAATTCTTTTTTTTTTTTTTGAGGAAGATTAGCCCTGAGGTAACTACTGCCAGTCCTCCTCTTTTCAGCTGAGGAAGCCTGGCCCTGAGCTAACATCCGTGCCCATCTTCCTCTACTTTATATGTGGGATGCCTACTACAGCATGGCGTGCCAAGCGGTGCCATGTTCGCACCTGGGATCCGAACCGGCGAACTCCGGGGCGCCAGAGTGGAACGTGCGCACTTAACCGCTGCACCACCAGGCTGGCCCGCTATAATTCTCATGTTGCATTTCCTCATTGAGTTGGATATTTCTCGGAGACTTTCTTCATTTCTTTGTAGTCTTAGTTCTCTCCTCCTCTGTCTGGAGCATTTCAACATATCTATCTTCAATTATACTGATACACTCCTGTATGAAGTCCACTCGAGCACTCAGGGAATCTGTATTTTGTTTTATCTCTTCCATTGTGTCTTTCATCTCTAATATTTCTGATTGATTCTTCTTCATTGTTTCAATCTCTTTTGTGACATAGGTCCTGAATTCGGTGAATTGTTTCTCTACATTCTCTTTTACCTCTTTGAGTTTTTGGATGACAGCCATTTTGAATTCATTGTCATTTAGACTACATATTTCTGTGTCCTCAGGACTGAATTCTGGGTGCTTGTCCTTTTCTCTCTGGTCTGGAGATTTGATGTAGTGTGTGATGTTGCTAGAGGTAGGCTGGGTCTTACGCATTCTGATCTTAGTCAGTTACAGTTACCACCTAATGCCACCAGGTGGGGGTCGAGAGCAGCATATTCTGAGTCCTCCAGCCTCAGCCGATATCTCAGGCAGTGGAGCAGTGTGGGGCTGGTGGGTGGAAGGGCGCTTTCTCCTGTACGCACTCCAGGCTTTCTCGATCAGCTCTCGCTATCTGGTCTCCCAGGGTGTTGGCTTGATGAGGTCACCCCTTGCAAAAGCTTTTGCCTGTTAGAGGGCTTCCCTCTAGGCTGCAAGCATGCTAGGGAGCCCTTGGTGAGCTCATGAATGAGTGATCCCTTTCCCATTCCTTCCGTCACGGAACCTCCCTCGGTCATGATCACAGTCTTTAGAGGAGGAAGCAAAGTTCTCTCTTACCCCATTCCAGCTCCTCTGAGCGGGGCTCCAGCCTCTCTGCCCTCCATTGTATGGCTGCATATCTCTCCAACGTTTTTGTGTTGTTAGGATGTCCTCTGTTGGAGTATGGGTGCCCCTTTTTGTCGTATGTTGGAGGGGAGTGAGTCCCAGGCAAATTCACTCTGCCATGATGCTGACGTCCCTCTTTTTTTTTTTGAGGAAGATTAGCCCTGAGCTAACATCCACCTCCAACCCTCTTTTTGCTGAGGACGAGTGGCCCTGAGCTAACATCTGTGCCCATCTTCCTCTATTTTATATGTGGGATGCCTGCCACAGCCTGGCTTGATAAGTGGTACGTAGGTCTGCACCTGGGATCCAAACTGGCAAACAGGAAGCGAAGCACGCAAATTTAACCACTATGTCCCTGGGCTGGCCCCGAATTTTATTTTTGACACTAATTTAAAGAGATGAAGGAAGAGTATTGGAGTACAGTAAACAAAATAGTAGCACCAAATTAAACTCAGCTCTATAACTGAAATGCCAAATGACTAACTGGAGAGTTAAATCTCATACTCTAGACCCTAAAACTTCATTAAAGTGAGACTTGTCATCATTAAACAAGGAGATTACATATTTCTTCTTTAGAGCAATTGAAAGATTGGGAACTAGATAAGCCCTGGAGACTCACACAGTGCTATTTATCTTCTGATTAATCCAGAAAGGAAAAAAACTGGGCAAACTGAAACCTCGAGTTTTTAACTGCTTTTGAATGCAACTACATATATCTCCACTTCTGCCATGTACCCTTTGACTACTTTCCTAAGAATATCCATATTCAGTGTATATTCTTCATATACTTTCTAAATATCTTCTCATTCACTGATTCCAAAGACAGTCAATTTTGATTTTCCTTCAGCCAATACATTTGTGATGTGAAAGAGAAAGTAAGTTTATCTTAGTGCAAATAAGATTCCTTCTACTCCATGTCTCCCTAAACAGTTAATAAGAGTTTATAAATGTTTATCCACATGCTCATCATTTTGCTGAAGGCAACATCTTAAATTTTAATCATCTCATCCATACAAACCATACATTCCTCTAAGGGAGTAGGGAAAAAATCAGACCCCTCCAACTGATTCTCGAGGTGGTAACTTTTAGTAAAAGAAAAAGAATTTTTTTTTCTTCAATATGTATTTATAAAGCACTTTTAAAAAACAAAGTTGACAAGTTTAAAAGACTTCCAACTGCATTTAGGTATCAAGAGTTCCTTTATTTTGAAGTATATGCTCTTTCTGATTAAATAGAGCTATTCAAAAAATTATTAATTATAATTTAAATTATTAAATTATCTTCAAGAGCAATTTTCTATATTAATATATAAAATTATATTCCCCAAATACATTTTTATCACTGTTTGGCCAAAACATTACTTTAAAAAGGCAGAAATCAACTGCAAAATAAACAGCAATCTAAGCAATTATAATCTTTTACTTCACAATAAGATTAGTAACGCAGGTTCCAATGCTTAGAGTAACTCTGAAAAAAGATGCATGGTCACTAATAATATTTTAGTTATTAAGTGTTATTCTCAAAAACACATTATAAATAAAAATCTACCTCCCACTCCACCCTCAGTATCTTACCCACCAGAAAAAAACAGACCCTAAAACATGCCTCATCATGATGACTTAAGTGTACCTTCAAGCACTTTAGATTTAAAAAATTTTAAGTTACTATGCCCAATTACATAAGGTTACAGGCTTAAGTCTACTCACACAGTTGAGGTTGATGAGCAAACAGCTGTCCTGTATCTTGAGACTGACATTAGCTTCCTGCCTTCCCTATCCTCATAAGCAGCTACTTATAGTTTGAGTTTTATGCAAGAAAACATTTTAAAGCCTTCAGTGTTTTACTGCAGCAGACTTCAGATTCATTCCTGTAACACATTTAACATGAAACAGAGTTGAGACAGTTAAAATTAACTATGAACATTTTAATTGTATGAAACTCTAAGGAGTATTTTCACTATTATAATAGCTACATAAAAAGGGCTGTGAGGCAAAATTAAGAAATAAAAACATTTCATTTGGTATTAGACACCAATAGATAACATAACAATGTGTAACTTTAACATACAGATTTTTCTTCACCTGGCCACAGGCTAGGTGAGCAAGGATTACTTTTCATAATCAGTTATACCCAAAGGGAGCAAAACTAGGTATCTTCCTATTTTTCTAAAGGTTAGCTAATTTATCTAGCATAAACAACCACCAACTAAAGAACAACTTTTACAAACAGTCAGTCAATGGGGTGACTTCAGTGTCCTAAGAATATCCTTTGGGAGCCTCCTGATTGGGGAGAATGAAATTCTTGGTCCTATTGTGACAGGAAGAGGAGCCCTATTTCTGACACTTACTATGAAGGTTTACAGCACACTTCCCACAGATTCAATTTCCTATAGACCATTATTGCCACAGGTTAATCAAGTGTTAGAAGGCTTGTCTGGCAAATAAAGCTGCGTTCAATCAAAATGTCCTAGAATACCAGGATAACTACTTTTCCCCAACATGTACAATATTGGCCTCAATTTCTATAGTAAATTTTAGGAAAAGCTTTAGGATTTCAGAGTAAATTTACTATTTAAATTAACAACATGGTTTAAAAACACCAGGAGAAATAGCATACACTCAAATATCACTGATTAACTTTTAAAGCATTATTTAATGCTGAAATATTTATTGCAACATTTGCTATGCTATAAAAGATGACCAAAGGTTTTAGGATTCATTCAAAATAATTCAAAGGTTTCTCTATAATCTACTTATTGTGTACCTGTAAATGGTTTAAGAAATAATTCAAAATCTCATAAAGGTTGTAACTTAGAGTAACTTTCACACAAGTTAAAATATTTGTCCAACAGTCTAACTGTGCTTCAGGAGAACTTACTGAAACTTTCTGATTTTCACCACAGGTTTAAATGAGCCCAGAGTACAACACAATAGCCAAAAAAAAATTTGCAACAATCTTGGGCTATAAAATAGATGCGTGCTTTCTATATAATAATTATTATTAGCTAATGAGAGATCATGATGTAATAGCACCCTGAGAATTTTACATGCACACTTAATCTTCATTCCACCCTAAAAGGCAGGTACAATTATGACCAACTCTTTACAGATTATGGAACTGAAGTTTGGAGATATTAAGAATTTGTTTAAGATCACAGAGCTAGTAAGTAGCAGAGAGAGGACTTGAATCCAGATTTATTTGTCTCCAAAGCCTAGGCTCTTATGCATGAAACTAGATTATAGGCAACAGCAATCAACTGTACTGATCAAACCATGTCTAGAACTGTTATCTGGATTTGGGACCCTATGTTAAGTGAGATATTGATAAGTGAGTGTTATCACGAAGCCAACAGGACAGTTATAAATTCAGGAAAGCCATCTCTTACAAGAAATGACTGTTAGAAATGGGAGTAAGTAACCTAGAGAAAAGATAAAGAAGAATGTATTCTGAAGGGCTGTTAAAGAGCAAAAGGAGGAGGCTTATCTCACTGGCATAAAAGTACAGAATTTGAAACAATGCGTGCAAGTTTCAGAAGATAAATTTCAGTTCAATACAAAATATTTTCTAATGCTAAGGAGTCCAACAGCTGGAACAGACTCCCTCCTCTATCACTGAGTTTGTGTAATTAAATATTTGACCCTCAATCACCAAGTAGTAATCAATTTAGGTAAAATTAACAAAGAATGTTAAAATTCTTTGCAGATGAAAGTTTATGAGGAATAGTATATATTGAGTCGCAAACTATCTCCCCACAAATTACTTATTAAGAAAGGAAAATAATAACTTTTGAGTGGAAGCACCTGGCAGGTACCACATTAACCAAAAGATCAAAGTTAGTATTACCAATAATGGGACAAATGGACATGTGCCTCCTGATGTGATGCACTGAGGAGCACACATCACTAATGTAGAATTCCTGTCAAAACTACCTTTCCTAAAGTTAATCCCAAGGACACATAAAACAAATCCAAATTGAGGGAGATTCTATAAATAAATGGTCGGTCACTCTTCAAAAATGTCAAGTCATAAAAGACAAAGAAAGGCTAAGGAAACGTTCCTGATCAAATGAGAATAAAGAAACATGACTACTAAACACAATGAATGATTCTAGGTTGGATCCTGGACTAGGAGAAAAATTATTAAAGAATGCTATTGGGAAAAAGACAGAAATCTGAACATGGACTGCATTATTATATCAGTGTTAAATTTCCTTAATCTGATAAGTGAAATGTCCTTGAAAATATGAGATTGCCCGTGTTCTTGGTAAATACACATCTAAATATTACAGGGTAAAGGAACATGATGCATGCAACTTAATCTCAAACAGTTCAGAAAAAAATAATATGATAAAGAATGAAAGAGCAAAAGCGGCAAAATGTTAACAATGGGTGAACCTTGCCAAGGGGTATTTGGGACTTACTTGCATTACTAATGAAATTTTCTATAAATTTGAAACTATTTCACAATAAAGCCTGAGAAAAATAAATATTTGAACCTGATGTTCTAAGGATTCCAAATACCTAACAACAACAAGCAAACCGTATTTCCTTTCTTATCTCCATACATTCAAAATCCAATCCAACAGCAATTTAAACTGATCTGTGATTACCTATTCAATGAATTATAAGAAATAGTGCTCTCGTTTAAAACATCAAATGCGAGTGCTAAATGAGGTGTGCCATTCCACTAACAACAAGGTGTGACTCAGCGGATCTGAGTCAAGTGAATGTCTGCCTCCTCCCAACCTTGTTATTCTATTCCAACCTTCCCCAAACAGGACTGCAGTTAAAAACACAAACTTCTCCAATAGAGCACTGCCATTCTTCAAATGGGAATGCAAAAAGTGTCTCCTTGCTAACAACTCCAATTTAAGCTAATTTCTGGTTATGCCAGGTAGCATAGCAGAACCAAAGCAAGAGATAACGAGTGATCAATAATAAACAAGAAAAATACTAAAAAAAAAAGTCACCCCAAACAAACAAAACTCTATAATGCCAATAAACAGCCAGTGAAGCATTCATTTACTACAACAGAGCACCTGGAAAACACAAAATAATGTTAATCACTGAGAGACTAACACACAGTGGATAATACAAAACATTTCAGTGGTATAACACCATAAAATAAAGAGACAGAAGAAAGAAAAGAGGGAGGGGAAAAATGAGAGAGGGAGAATATGAATGAAAGACAATACGCAAGAAAGGAGAAAATCCTGACGGTCACACATCACCATGCTAATTTCAAGTTCTTCTTCCTCTCCTGTTTATATATTTTCTTCCACATTTTAACTTCTGTTTATCTTCTATTGTCTTCCACCTCACCTGCTGTAAAAATCAGTCTTTGTAAGTACACCAATTATTTGCATCTTATGCCCATACTCCATTTTTTTTAATGGTCAAGAGGCCCAGAACAGTAGTCTCTATCAGGAAAATCTCACAATTCACCTTGGAAAGGAGCAAAATGATAGAACACATCACATAGCTCATAGCCTAACAGGAGGAGGAAGGAATTGGAGGGGGAGATAGCCAGTAAAACTGAAGAGCCAGGCTCGACAAAGTTGACCTGGGAAAAAGAGATGCATTTTAGTCTCCTATACTGATCTGTATATACTCTCTATTAGGCATAAACTACCCATGGCACAATACTTAGTGGTACTTTAGCTAATGCCAGATCAGGAGCTCTGTTACTGAGCTGCGGCCTTCTTTCAGAAGGGCTTTAGATCAGATTAGTTTTTGTAACCCAAAAGCACCAAACACTACGTTGTTCAAAGAAGCCATTTTAATTTGAATAAGTACTTGTAGAATGCTCAACTGTAAAACAAGAAAAATTGTTTTATCCCAATCCCCATCCCTGCCTTCTCTCTCATTTTCTTAGGTAGCATGTCGTCAAACCTTCTACCCCACCAGATCTATTTACCAGCTCACCAAATTTTTCCTCCAATCTTAACTCAAACTCCAATTCGCTGAATGCTGCAGGTAGATGCTGTTGTAATAAAAAGAGTGAGAATAACCCACACTGTGAATGAGAGACTTGACCAACTCAAACCTAAAATTTAAGCCAATTTTAAACCTAAAATTCCCAATTTTAAGAAATATGGGATGCGTATATGGGAATTTCTATGTATACATACATAATATATTTGAGAGAGCAGGGAGTGAGTTTTCAGGTACCCTTTGCTTCTAAATCAACCCTTGGCTAGACTGCCAAGGAGATTATAACATAAACATGAGTCAGCAAATACAGCTCACTTCACAGGCTTCACTAAATCATTAAGTCAGATCAACATGGTCTACAGCTGAATTTCCAGCAAACCCCTAATATATAACATTACACATCATAAACCTTTGGGGCCGGCCCTGTGGCTGAGTGGTTGGGTTCGTGTGCTCTGCTTCAGTGGCCCAGGGTTTTGCCAGTTTGGATCCTGGGCACAGACCTAGCACTGCTCATCAAGCCACGCTGAGGCGGCGTCCCTCATGCCACAACTAGAAGGACCCACAACTAAAATATACAACTATGTATTGAGGTGATTCAGGGAGAAAAAGCAGGAAAAAAAAAAGAAGACTGGCAACAGTTGTTAGCTCAGGTGCCAATCTTTAAAAAGAAAAAAATCATAAACCTTTATCTGTAGCTTCTACTGTATTTCCCTTAACTCAAATTGTACTATGTAGGTCCCAACTCTGAGGAGAAAGGAGATGATATAGAAAGAAATGAAAAAAGGCTTCAAACAATAAAACTTAATATAAGGTAGAAATAGTAGGGGCCAGGGGACAGGAAGTGTTTCTAAACAGCCATGGTTCAACTAGCCCATTCAAAATTTAGTATATCTTGTAAAGGCGAGTTTAATAAGCAATACTATTTTAGAAGAGG